ACACACACACTCACACACACACACATACACACACACACACAGGGTTGTGTAAGCGAGGAAAAACCCAGTAGAAAATACTGATATCGATACATATCACCATGAATGGGTCAGCAGGTCACCACAGCAGAACCAAAATGGGGGCCAGCTGGTGGCTTCCCAGAACCGAATTATTTCCGTGTTTCTCATAGATTCAGGAGATGTAGCTAAGAAATTGCTTTTGCTATTGATCTAAGCGATGCATTTCAGCAAGATTTCACACACAAACCACTGGGACGTCAGCATCTAAATTTAGAGTGGAATGTTCTTTCTGTTAAGCCTACACCAAAGGCGGGTGTGTCAGGCCGGTGTAAGCCGGCTTGGCTCTACAGCAGGAGAGCTGGTAAAAGCCGGTAAAAGCCGGTATGGTAACGTGATGGGAAGGCTGGTTTAGGCCGGTATGGCTCAAAAAGGGTTATTGAATTATTATTGGCTCGTCCGCGTTGTCGGCAAGGCTACATCGAAACTTCAAAGCACTCAGCTGGTAAAGAGTGTGCAATTAAGCTCAAAATTCAGATTTCAGTAAATAATAATGTCTGTCCTTACCAACCGTTGTCTGTCTCTTGTACCTTGACGCTCGTGTCTCTGCTTTGGATATATCTGAAAGAAAAATTACAATTTGAAGGTGTCGTCAAGATTGGAAAAAAAACGTAAAAGTCAAAGCACCAACCTGAATATAAAATAGATCTATACCTTGTAAAGACAAATTAATTGACAGACCGTTTATCTAATGATATAAGCAATACATTTCAAGCTGTGGACAATATTACTACATTTGAAGATTCATTATAGGAAGCAATGAAAAAAAAGATCCCTTACCATCTAAAAAAGCAAGTAAAAAATTGAAAACCCCAGGAATTTCAAAACCAATGGTAAAGAAATGGCAAATACAATCAAAATGGAAAAAAAAACCAGGAAATAAAGAAAAACTACATTGAAGCAAAGGAAACATGGAATCGTGCAGATAAAAATATTTCATGATTTCAAACACCTGGTTTGGGAATCACCAAATTAGACGAAAAGCTTGACAGAACTAGACAAAAAAACTTCATATTCATTCAGGAACGTATTAGAAATGCCATACATTCACTTGAATCATTGCCAGGACCAGATTGTGATTGTGACCATGCACCATGAGATATGTCTAAAATGCAGATGAGATTAAAAATCTAAAGCAGCCAAAGCACCAACCCAAATTGGAAGTAGTTACTTTTTTGTAAAGATAAACCAAGAACCATGGTGAAATACAATCTCTTGGTAAAAGCAATAAATTTCAAGCTATGGAAAGCATTTCTAAATCAAAATACGCCCCCCCCCCCCTTTCCAAACCCCATCTTTAAAAAAGGAAAAGAAAAAGTACGAACGACGCTGGGCATATCAAAACTAACGGAAGAGAGAGAGGGCAGACTATATTCTATCTAGTATAACACTTTAAACAGGGAAATATAGAAAATGGGAAATGAAATAAAAGAACTAATTATGGACAAACGATCAGTGTAAACTAACAGATAAAACTCACAACAAAGATAGAAAGTACACGCATTTCTAATTCAAAGAAAGAAGTGGAAAAGGGAATGCTCAAACAAAGACTGTAAAAGATCATAAGGAAAGAGATATGTTTTATGGACAACGTTGTTCCAAACAGATATTCAGTACACATAAAGACCCTTTCAAATACAGGAGAAAAACAGACAATGAAGAAAGGACGAATTGGTCCACTAATTCTGAAAGCAAAACTATAAAATGCCATTTACAAAAAGAAACAAGGTAAAGCATAGAGTCAGTTGACATCCCAAGACGAAATGATTGTTAAACTAAAAGAATTCAGCACTGAAATAACACCAAAGCTCTTAAATTCTATCTATGGCCATAATGAGATTTCTAAAGATATGATTAGGGAAGTTATAATAGCTTTATCTAACACGCCTGGTACCACTGGGTGTGAGATGCGCAAATGATAAGTCTTTTGAGATATTCATATTACTTTTTTTTAAATTGAGAGTACTAATACAAAGAATGGCAAAAAGTCTGAGACCAGAGAAACCTAAAACAATCCAGCTTTGTTCCTGACAAAGGTACCAAAAATGTTATATTCATCCTAACAATATTATTGAAAGTTCACAAAGATTCTGTTCTTATGGTTCATAGATTATCCAAAGGCTTTTGATAAATTGAGACATAATGAACTTTCATTACTTTTGAAGGAGCTAGACATAGATGGAAAGGATCTAAGAATTATTAGGATTTGAACTTGAACCAAAATGCTGTTGTATTGAGGGAGAATAAAGCAAATTCTAACAGATTCAAACAAGAGTGGGGCAAGGATGCATTATGTCACCAGATTTCTTTAATATAAACCACCCGTAGAAATATAGACGACAATCCAGATCTCAGAATGAATGGCGAAAATATTAACAACTACAGATATGCCCGATGAAATTGGGTTTTTTTTTCAGATTCAGAAAAGGGCCCCCAATCGTTTCTGGATGATTGTGACGGAATGTGAATGTGGAAGGTCACTCTTAAATGTGAAGAAGGCAGAATGCATGACAATGTCTAAAACTAGAAAAAAGGAAATCCTATTTTCTAATCTCCTATGAAAAAAGTTAAAATAAGCTCAACTGTTTAAATAATATAATTACATCTGATGTTAAATGTACCATAGAAAGAAAACGAAGAATTGCAATACCTAAAGACTGTTTCAAACTTTAAAAAAAACTGTACCTTTGAACATAGAAGCATCTCACTGATTGCGAAAATAAGAATTCTAAAAGACTATGTATGGCCAATCCTTCTATACGACCTTGGAAATGAACAACTAAGACAGTTCATACCCAACAACAAAAATATGGAAACTTGAGAACTTCTTGGAAGAAAAATAAAGCAATCAGGTGGAAGTCAAAGAAACCTGATTTGACGTTTATATTAAAACAACGAGGAAGAGACAAACGCAGTGTCTGAGACACTTGAATAGACACAAATCCTGAAATACATTTCTCCCGTTTGTAAAATTGGAAGCAAAGGAGGCATGAATATATGGGTGATGAGGACAGGCTAGGATATTACAGTTGTGTTTTTCAGAGCACCCGAGACAAGACGTGAAAGGCAAAACATGATCGATGTCGTCTGTTGCCGATCTGGCACTAGATGATGACGACGCTGTAATCGGGCTTTTGATTATTACGTTTTGTTTATTCTATGGCGGGTTTTTTTTCTAGCTGTTAATATTTGTTTGATTTTTCAACTTACCTTCAACCCCTTTCTGTTTGCAGTAATTCAAATTTTTACTCTACCTCCGCATCCTCCGCCTCCCCTTGCTCCTCCTCCTTGTCCTCCACGTCGTTCTCCTCCACGTCGTTCTCCTCCACCTTCTTCTTCTTCTTCTTCTTCTTCTTCTTCTTCTTCTTCTTCTTCTTCTTCTCCAAGCGTAGAATCGGATCAAAGCATAGAAAATAATGTAGGAAAATAATAAACATTAGTAGTTCTATTTTTATTTTTATTTTTGGGGGTTTTTTTATTTTGCAGTTCGAGGTACTTACACATTTCTGTGAACGCTTCTCTCTTTTTCCTTTCTATCGTACCCTGTGCTCGCAGTTCTGCAAGTCTGGCTGGAATAATCAAAACGTAAGATCACAGCAAATTAAATTCAACTAACCTTTTTCACACCACGCTAACTTTTGAACATTCTTGCATCCTTTTTGACCAGTTATTCAAAAGAAATAACTTTGAGAATCGATAAATGAGTTTAATGCTGTAAAAAGTGTCAACCCAACCTCAACCCTTCCCCCTCCCCTTTTTCCATAAAAACGAGTTGAATCAATCCTGGAGAATCAAACAAAATCAATCAGTTTATGCATGTGTGCACAACAAAAGCTATAACCTATTGGTGAAGATATCGTGAGCGGGAGTTCTAAAATGGGGAAAGCTGGGTTTTTGGGCCGACTTTATAATTGCACTCACTCTATCCAATGATAGTACATAACAAGATGGGCCACTTCTCTCTTTGAGCCAATTAAAAAAGTGTCCTCAAAATTTGGTGGCGCCCTCTTCACAAAAGCGCACTCTTTGCGAACAGAGTTACCCTACTTGAGTTTTTAAAAATCAAAGTGAAACTAGCATGTTTTGGGATACATTTCGGAAGAACGCTTTTTTAAAATGGTTACGCTGACAAAAAACCTTTTCCGGAGGAAAGGGTGATGGTTTTCTTCGTTTAATTTGACTTTAGAATGAAAGGCGAGAGGTCATTAAAATAAAAAAACAACCTAAAACTACGCACTGAACGTACCCGAACTGCTGATGAACAGCAGTCGATCTGCGCACGCAAGGAGGTGCTATTCCTATTCTTCTTCTGGAAAAACGAAAGAGAGCTTCAAAACAGACTGCAGCGCCATCTGAAGCAAAGAGCATACTTCCTGCGGACACTTTTTTGGCTGAGTGAACCATCTTGTTATGTACTATCATTGCTCTATCACAGAATCGATACTTCCAATAATACTTGCGATTCTCTGTGATCGCATACTGCTATCAGAATCAAAGTTATAATTGAGTATCAGCAAAGATAGTACATAACAAGATGGTCCACTCAGCCAAAAAAGTGTCCGCCGGAAGTCCGCTCTTTGCTTTAGAAGGTGCTGCAGTCTGTTTTGAAGCTCTCTTTCGTTTTTCCAGAAGAAGAATAGGAAAAGCACCTCATAGCGTGCGCAGATCGACTGCTGTTCATCAGCAGCTCGGGTTCGTTCAGTGCGGAGTTTTAGGGGTTTTCTTTATTTAAATGACCTCTCGCCTTTCATTCTTAAGTCAAATTAAACGAAGAAAACAATCACCCCTTCCTCCGGAAGAGTTTTTTGGTCAACGTAACCATTATAAAAAAGCGTTCTTCCGAAATTGATTCGAAAACTTGCTAGTTTCAATTTGATTTTTTAAACTCAAGTGGGGTAACTCTGTTCGCAAAGGGTGCGCGTTTGAGAAGACGGCGCCACCGAATTTTTTGGACACTTTTTTAATTGCTTCAAAGAGAGGAGTGGCCCCTCTTGTTTTGTAGATTCTTTGGTATCAGTTCTATGGTCGAGTCCAATTATTAAGTAGGCCAAAAGCGGGTGGACCACTAAAATGAGCTTCATTTACCAGATTGACAGCATAAGACTTTAGCACAGTTGGTTAGAATGACTGCGATATCTGGTTGTTAATGACTGAATCCCTGAAGGGATTTTTCAGTCCTCTTTGAATAATGTTTCTACCAGCCTCGTGTTTTCAGGGTGGAATCCAGATCTCAAGCGTAAAGCATGACGTTGTGTCTTGACTTAAAATTTACGATCTCAAAGCAACATGCATGGTACAACTTTTGCTGGTCGGGAGAAGAAGAATAAAGAAGAAGAAGAAGAAGAAGAAGAAGAAGAAGAAGAAGAAGAAGAAGAAGAACAAGAGCAAAAAGAACAAGAGCAAGAAGAACAAGAACAAAAAGAGAATAAGGTTCTCAACCATTCGGTCCAAGCATGTTCATGTCCACATTTACCACGAAATGATCACTCTATCTATCTCTGACGTAACTCAGTCTTTCTGCAAGAATGCGGTATCCCATTTATAGTCTGGATTGGCCCTCATAGTCAGGGTTGAAGCAACTAATGAGGGATGTAAAACGTGTGATGATAATATTGAAAAATAAAAGTGATGATAATAATGATACAATGATGATAATAATGACGATAATAATCAGAATGATAATAATAATAATAATAATAATAATAATAATAATAATAATAATAATAATAATAATAATAATAATAATAATAATAATAATAATCATCATCATCATAATAACAATAATAATAACAATAACATAAAGCATCTATATAGCAGCCTATCCCATAAGCAAGCAAGCTCTGAGCAGTGTGCAATGAATAAAAGTAGACAGTTCAGAGACACAAAGAATGCATTTGCTACAGTTGTTTTTTTTTAAGACAGTACTCATTATATAAAAATATGTGATTTCAAATGGGTTTAAATAATATTTTCTTTTTAAAAAATTCTTCTAATTGTAGTTTTGTTGGGGTTGTTTGTTGGGTTAGTTTTTTTGTGTTGTTTTTTTTTGGGGGGGGGGGGGCAATTACAAGTTTTTGGGGCCAGCAAAAGCAAAAGATCTTTCACCAAATAACGAGGACTTCAACTTAGGAGTTTTTAATTTAGTGGTGTTTTGTTGATGAACACAGCTGTCTTGGTTGAAAATAAAGTAATAATGCACAATGTATTATTTTTCTTAAGTGCATGAGTTTGGATTTTAATAAACATAGAAAACCAATTGTACCCAAAGTTAGGGGTACCAACTTAGATGGACGTGTCTATTGTGCTGAAAACAGTGTATTGTCTGAAGGGAATACTGGATGAACAAAGGAAACTGATTTTGCATGACAATAAAACAAGAGTCATTCTGGCAGCTATTGCAAAGCCTATAAATTATGACGTTGACAACGATCACGTGAAAACTGATGATGCAGAAATTGGATTTTTCAAGAAAAGTTTAAAACCCTGGCATTTATTTCGATGCCGATTTGTAAATATCGGCTGAGGTGAAACGTCTAACCAGCCGCATATACTTAGAAATAAGAAAAATCAATAAAATACGTCATCTGATCAATACTATGTATACTCTTTTATCAGTAAGTAGCTTAGTGTTATCGAGACCTGGTAATTGTATCATTTTTTCTCAAGTCAGATATATCTCTGCGAAAAAAAGTGAAAAGACTTCAAATGTGTCAAACAATGCTGTGCATTTAGTTTTACAGAAAAGAATATGAGACACCTTTACATAATATTTTACAGACGCTGCACTGACCTCTGTATGTCATAAATGCATGAATGACAATGAGCCATCATATTATCATATCTGTTGAAATTGTACATTCCAGCTCTCCTAGCAGTTCAAGATCATCAATAGACCTAAAGAAATTACTTTTAAAATGGACGAAACAATGGGTGAAAGAGCATTTGCATCTCATGACCCCAAGATCTGGAACGCAACGCCTGGTAAAATAATTTAAGAGAGATCAAATCTTTTATATCAGTCTAAAGTCAACGCAACTCATATCTGTTTTTCGATAAAAGAGAAAACATATCATCTAGATTTTTTCCCAAAACACGTTGTACTGTGTATGTGTTGCTTTTGTTGTTAAAGCACCCAGAGTCTGTACTATTTAATCGGACTTGAGTTTTTTATAAATGCTATATTATTATTCTTATTATTGTTTTTATTGTTATTATCATCATCGTCATCATTATGAGAGAAAAATGTCATTGCTAAAAGGTCATATACTGCATTGTAAAAGTAAGCTAAACATACAAAAACAGCGGAGGGAAAGTAAGAAAAGACGTAGGACCTACCTGCTACCTGAGGCACACTCCAACCTGCTGCTTTATAGGTGAAAGTTAAGGTACATTCTAAAGACAAAATATGAGATTAAAAATACGAGGGTGGATAAAAAAGGTAATTGGAGTTGTGACATAGTTTTCCAATGCAACGGACCTAGAATTTCACATCCCCATAAAATATTTTCCTCAACTTGATGTGCAGGATTCCAGCCTTCATTGCCTCTTCTTTAAGCACAGAGATAGTCAGCTTCCGATATGCTTCGTAGCTCTGAATCGACAGCTTTTGCTAGATCCCAAATGCGTTCGAACTTTATTCCAACGAGATTATCTTTCGGAAGAGGAAAATATCACAAAAGTTGCAGGGAGCTAAGTCAGGAAAAGGCTGAATGGGGCAAAACTTGAATCCTTTTCTCCTGCATACATAGAGTTGTATCCCTTATTTGGTGAGGACTGCGTTGTACTGGAAGGAAGGAGCAAAGTACGAGCAAGTTTCTGTTCATCAACGGCTTTTTCAAATTAAGAAGTTTCTTTTTGCACGTAGTGAGAAGAAGTCATATCAGTGTTATACTATGGCTTGATATCAATTTCAAAGGAACCGCTGTAACAGTTTTTAAATAAAATGGTATAAAAAGGAGAAGGCATCTTTGTGTTTTGAAATCCTGGACACACATCGATATGCCTGTCTTCTCTCTCGTCTATCCACATGCGATTCAGATGTTTTGATGAAATTCCTAAGAAAGGTAAATACATGTTTGGCCTCCTGTTACAATGCAAGAAAGGGTCCATGGATTCCCAACATGTTGAGCAATTCTTTGACACATTTCACCCTCTGCCTGTTCGCCAAGTTTACAGCTTACAAAGACGTCAAATCGGATATTTTCTTTCCTGAGTCTTGTCTTGTATCCTCTAGAACCCAAGCCATCCTTTGTTTGTGACGTCATAAAGTAATCATGAGCGACGTTGCATGCACGTTAAACGCCAACGGTTGGTTCAAGAGAAGACACGATTAATTATATTATTTTTATGACTAAACTCAACAGCTTAACTGCTAGATAACAACTTCCATTACTTTCTGATTCACCCTCATACTTTGTAAAAAGATCATTTCCTTATATCTAAGACACCATAAGCAACAGCATCAACAATAATAACAACAGCAACAACAACAACAACAACAACAGCAACAAAAACAATAGCGTCAATAATAACAACAAAGGGACAAACAACAGCAACAGCACAAGCAACACCAACAACTATAACAGCATTATAACAACAACAACAATAACAACAACAACAACAACAACAACAACAACAGAAAAACAGCAACAGCAACAGAAATGTCAGAACAACAGCAACATCAAAAGTAGTAACAACAAAGGTTCAACAACAGCACCAGAACAATTACAAAAACATGAACAACAACAGCTGTAACAACAGCAACAGCGGCAGCAGCAGCAGCAGCAGCAGCAGCAGCAGCAGCACCGAGTCAAGAGGAGCAACACTACAGCATTGACCTACCTGTAGCGGGACACGATGTATTGAACGGAGTACAGTATTTGAGAGAGAAGTCAATGACGCCGGCCTCACATCTCGCGTTCCTCCACAGTCCTCTTTCACAACGCTGATACTCAACAATGCAACTGGTTTTCACTTCACCGGGTAGTCGTCTCAACTCATTCTCTAGGCCCTGGCAACGATCCTGCCCTTTACATACTGAGGGCACAAAAGGAATGATGATGATGATGATGATAATCTAACACTATTTTTTAAATGTTCCTGATGAAGCCCGAGATAGGGCGAAACGTTGAACCTATATAAATATTCTTAGAAATTCTACAAGTCTCAACCCTTTTGTTATTCTCTGTTGTTTACAATGATGATGTTGCTGTTTTCGAAATAGTCCCCACTGGGTCTGATAGAAATCAACTTCCACAAAGAAAACAAAACAGCAGAGTACGATAATATGCTCACTCTATCCTAAAAAGTGAATGGTATGCCTAATAACAACAAAACAACAACAACAATACTACTACTACTACTAATACGAATAATAATATAAACAATAATTTTTCTGAATTGAAAGAGAAACAACTATTATATATCAATAATAATTCTAAATTTACGCTTCCTCATAATATGAATGCTTTTGTTTGTTTGTTTGCTTATTTCTTTCCCCTTGTTTAATGTTGTTATTAATTGCCATGAAGGCAAGCTCAGATGAGGCATCTGCTCTCAAAGACGGTGCCACTGACTGACGTGTCTTAAGGCCATTCCCAAAGGGGGGACATTTCTCGTTCATGCACAGTAGAATTTTAAATGGACTGATTCATCAATGTCACACTCATAACTGTGTCTAATCTACAACAGAGAACTACAGCTTTTTCTTTCCTAATCCTTACTATTGTCATTTTCCTCTATTGCTTTTGTATGTTTGTCACAATCTTGTGACCCACTATTTCCGCGGTGCCTTGATAGTCGAAGCAGACTTTGTGCTGTTGAAGCTAGAAAGGTGAGCAGAGTAAGTCTGATTCCCTGTAAGGACTTCTCTGTTGACACCCACTACTTGGCGCTCATATGACCGAATGCAGTTGCAAGCGCTGTAAAACCTCTACTAAAACTAAACTAAAAAAGACGTACCTGTTAGAAAGAAAGAAAAGGCAAAGAGAACTGCGATGTAGAAGACAGTCCTGTCGGCAGTGTGTGACGTCATCGTGATCTCTCTGTCTTGACACGGCCTGGTGGTGAAAGGAAAAAAATAACTATAACAAAACCAAAACCCCCCCAAAAAAAATCCCGAAGAAACTATTCACATTACTAGTAGGCACGGAGTACTGAGGCGAAGAAGAAGAAGAAGAAGAAGAAGAAGAAGAAGAAGAAGAAGAAGAAGAAA